GTCTGGATTTCACCCACAACACTCCACAGAAACTGCTTGCACCTCTCCGCTGCCTTTGACACAGTTGACCACCCCCTCCTCCTCAAAAAACTCTATTTACTTGGTGTCTGTGACTGTACTCTCCGTTGGTGCAAATCTTACTTATCTCACCACACCTTCATAGTCACTTACAACTCTACCTCCTCCTCTCCTACTCCTCTTACTGTCGGGATCCCCCAAGGTTCTGTCCTTGGACCTCTCCTATTCTCAATCTACACTTCTTCCTTGGGTCAGCTGATAGCTTCCCATGGTTTCCAATATAATTTCTATGCTGATGACACACAAATCTATCTTTCTACTCCTCAGCTCACCCCATCAGTTTCCTCACGTATCACCGATTTACTAACAGACATATCAGACTGGATGTCACACCACTTCCTAAAACTCAATCTATCCAAAACTGAGCTCATAATATTTCCTCCCCCACATGCCTCTTCCCCTGATTTCTCAGTCAGGATCAATAGCACCACTATCAACCCATCCCTGTATGCCAGGGTACTAGATGTAACCCTGGATTCTAAACTATCCTTTCAGACCCACATCCAATCCCTGTCCAAATCATGCTGCCTTAACCTCCACAATATCTCCAGAATATGCCCCTTTTTAACTAATGATACCACAAAGCTCCTAATTCACTCCCTGGTCATCTCTCGCCTCGACTACTGCAACTCCCTCCTCATTGGCTTACCTTTACATAGGCTATCCTCCCTCCAGTGCATCATGAATACTGCCGCCAGGCTCATCCACCTTACCAACCGCTCAGTGTCTGCTACCCCTCTCTGCCAATCTCTCTACTGGCTTCCACTCACCCAACGAATAAAATTCAAAATACTAACAACTTACAAAGCCATCCACAACTCTCCCCAGCTACATCACCAAACTGGTCTCAAAATATCAACCAAACTGCTCTCTTTGATCCTCCCAAGACCTTCTGCTCTCTAGTTCCCGTGTCAACTCCTCCCATGCTCACCTCCAGGACTTCTCCCGAGCTTCTCCCATCCTATGGAATTTCCTACCCCAATCTGTCTCCTAATCTATCCACCTTTAGACGATCCCTGAAAACCTTTGTCTTTAAAGAAGCCTATCCTGCTTCTACCTAGTAAACCGCCATTTATTTCCTCCATCAGCTCATCCCCCACAGCTATTACCTTTTGTATCACTCAACCCTTCCTCCTAGTTTGTAAGCTCTAATGTGCAGGGCCCTCTGTTTCCTCTTCTACCAAATTGTATTGTAACTGTAATGTCTACCTTCATTTTGTAAAGCACAGCACAAACTGTTGGCGCTATATGAATCCTGTATAATAATAATAATTAGAATATCTAAAAATACATCGCTGGGTTAAACAAATAACACTTCCAATGTTTTTGAACCAGTAATGGTAATGTAGTGCCACGACAGAGATCAATGGGTTAAACCTTTTATTTTTTTTTTTAGTTTTGGATGGATTGGAGGAGGGTTTAGACCCTCTGTTAAAGTGTTACTAAACCCACAACAGTAAAATCAGTCCATATATGCAGTAAAGCATGCTTGTTATACTCACTGTGGAACCTAAGGGGTTAATCCTCCGCATTGTGTAAAAAGGCTGTGTGATCTTGTCTTCTCTGATCCTCCCCTTCTTCCACAGTCCCCAATCCATCTTCTGATAACACAAAGCTTTGGAGGCAAGATGCACATGCCCAGTTTGGTGTGTATTGCTAGAGAGTTTTTCTTTCTCTTGGGAGAGCATTGTCCAGATAGAGAGTCAGGGGTCGTGCAGCCTCATAGGACAATTGAGGGAGAATGAAAACTCCTCCAGCAAGCTTTAACCAGTGCTCTGCTGGACACTGATAGAAGTCACAAGACTGCTCTAACTGCTGATGAGAAAAAGTATTTAGCAGTTTATACAGTCAGGTCCATAAATATTGGGACATCGACACAATTCTAACATTTTTGGCTCTATACACCACCACAATGGATTTGAAATGAAATGAACAAGATGTGCTTTAACTGCAGACTGTCAGCTTTAATTTGAGGGTATTTACATCCAAATCAGGTGAACGGTGTAGGAATTACAACAGTTTGCATATGTGCCTCCCACTTGTTAAGGGACCAAAAGTAATGGGACAGAATAATAATCATAAATCAAACTTTCACTTTTTAATACTTGGTTGCAAATCCTTTGCTGTCAATGACAGCCTGAAGTGTGGAACGCATAGACATCACCAGACGCTGGGTTTCATCCCTGGTGATGCTCCGCCAGGCCTCTACTGCAACTGTCTTCAGTTCCTGCTTGTTCTTGGGGCATTTTCCCTTCAGTTTTGTCTTCAGCAAGTGAAATGCATGCTCAATCGGATTCAGGTCAGGGGATTGACTTGGCCATTGCAGAACATTCCACTTCTTTCCCTTAAAAAACTCTTTGGTTGCTTTTTCAGTCTGCTTTGGGTCATTGTCCATCTGCACTGTGAAGTGGCGTCCAATGAGTTGTGAAGCATTTGGCTGAATATGAGCAGATAATATTCCCCGAAACACTTCAGAATTCATCCTGCTGCTTTTGTCAGCAGTCACATCATCAATAAATACAAGAGAACCAGTTCCATTGGCAGCCATACATGCCCATGCCATGACACTACCACCACCATGCTTCACTGATGAGGTGGTATGCTTAGGATCATGAGCAGTTCCTTTCCTTCTCCATACTCTTCTCTTCCCATCACTCTGGTACAAGTTGATCTCGGTCTCATCTGTCCATAGGATGTTGTTCCAGAACTGTGAAGGTTTTTTAGATGTCATTTGGCAAACTCTAACTTGGCCTTCCTGTTTTTGAGGCTCACCAATGGTTTCCATCTTGTGGTGAACCCTCTGTAGTCACTCTGGTGAAGTCTTCTCTTGATTGTTGACTTTGACACACATACACCTACCTCCTGGAGAGTGTTCTTGATCTGGCCAACTGTTGTGAAGGGTGTTTTCTTCACCAGGGAAAGAATTCTTCGCTCATCCACCACAGTTGTTTTCCGTGGTCTTCCGGGTCTTTTGGTGTTGCTGAGCTCACCGGTGCGTTCCTTCTTTTTAAGAATGTTCCAAACAGTTGTTTTGGCCACGCCTAATGTTTTTGCTATCTCTCTGATGGGTTTGTTTTGTTTTTTCAGCCTAATGATGGCTTGCTTCACTGATAGTGACAGCTCTTTGGATCTCATCTTGAGAGTTGACAGCAACAGATTCCAAATGCAAATAACACACTTGAAATGAACTCTGGACCTTTTATCTGCTCATTGTAATTGGGATAATGAGGGAATAACACACACCTGGCCATGGAACAGCTGGGAAGCCAATTGTCCCATTACTTTTGGTCCCTTAACAAGTGGGAGGCACATATGCAAACTGTTGTAATTCCTACACCGTTCACCTGATTTGGATGTAAATGCCCTCAAATGAAAGCTGACAGTCTGCAGTTAAAGCACATCTTGTTTGTTTCATTTCAAATCCATTGTGGTGGTGTATAGAGCCAAAAATGTTAGAATTGTGTCGATGTCCCAATATTTATGGACCTGACTGTATTTACTAAAATAATTGCACTTCTGTGTTCTCTATACTGTGGGAAACCAGATATAGTGAATGCAGGGTCCAGGGATAAGTAACACTTTAAAGCAAAGCTAAACCCAAAAGGGGAAGTTCTGCTTTAAGCCTTCGTCCCCCGCTCCCCATTAAGGATTGGCACCTTTGGGGAGCGGGTACCCGAATTAAACAGGTACCCGCTCCCACTTCCGCTACGATCACCTAGGCAAGCAGAAGTGGAAGCTGTTCTCCCCCTCCCTCCCCATAGTCTTCTGGGACACGTGACAGGTCCCAGAAGACTACGGGACCTTTCACAAAGCGCAGCGCTTCTGCGCATGCACAGTGGGCACCCGGCTCTGAAGCCGCAAGCTGTCACAGCCAGGTGCCCACACTGAAGATGCCGGCACCCAGGGAGAGCAGACGGCCAGTTAAACCAGCAGTGGTGAGGACACCCCTGGACCGAGGGACAGGTAAGTGTTTGTATTTTAAAAGTCAGCAGCAATGTGCCTTATTATTATTATACAGTATTTATATAGCGCCAAAGAGTATGCTCAGCGCTGTATAGTAGCAAGGGGGACAGAACATGAGACAAGACAGTAACAAACCAGTACACGAGGGGTTCGAGGGCCCTGCTCTGATGCTCCCTCCCTGTACTACAAACCTACATGTAGACGCTTCAAGTGCCACACACACAGCAAATGGCACACCTCTCTTCCTTTTCTGCAGTGGTGATTGACACACTGGCACCGGGAGTTTAGCGGAACAGGAAACTCGTATGGGACTCCATAAGTCCTGAGCACAGTGGGAAGACATAGAACTGGGAGTGTATCAGTGTGGCTCCAGAAGAACTTGTAGGGTAAATTAAAAGGAATAAATTGATTAAAGTTATGATATATGTAAGTAATGTTATTTGTATCTGTTTTACAGAAATAATTAGACTGTTATGTCACTTTAAGTGAAAGAGGGGCCATTTTGTCGTCTCATGCTCATAGACATTAAAGGTTATTAAAACAGCTCATGAAGATAATGTATGTAGAGAAAAGAGTGGAATATGCCCACACAGCTCTTCAATCAGGTTATTTAGGAGGAGATCATTGTCAACTGGGAGAAATTATGCAAGAACCTCCCTTTGAAATCCCCTTTTGGGGTGTATGGTGAGGAGTGAAGGTGTGTATGGTGGGGAGTGAAGGTGGACATTCATATGGGGACTGCTTCCAACCAACAGGGACAATAATTTACTGCCTGTGTCCAGCTTAAGCTGCTCTTGCTGCTTCTTAGTGCTTATTTTATCTATAGTCTTTGTCAGTCATTTTTCCGTAACCATAGAGACAATTAAGATTTGAGCATATCGATGGCTAGAGAACAACAGTTTATACCATTCATCAATCTCTAATTGTTATTTTGCCTTGGTTTGCAGAGTTGCTGCGTGATGCGATACACAACTGCTGGGCAACTCCTGAACATTATTTCCCCAAGAGAATTCATTGACTTCTCCTACACCACCAACTATGAAAATGGACTTTTAACATGTGGTACTTTTTTACATTTTACTATTATTGTACACTGTATGAACAATTGTTGACGCCTGACAATCACAGTTATATTTGCTCATTGAATATCCTATTCCAAAACCATGGGCTTTAATATGGAGTTGTAACCCTTTTGCTGTAATAACAGGCTTCACTCCTCTAGGAAGGCTTTCCACAAGATTTTGGAGTGTATCTTGTGGGAGCATTTGTAAGGTCAAGTTCTTATGTTGGACAAGAGACCTCACAAGTCAGCCTTTCATCTGATCCCAAAGGGGTTCAGTAGGCTTAAGGTGAAGATAAATTGCAAATACTCATTCCTCCCCTCGCCGACATCTTCTTCCCAGCTTCTTCTAGGTGCCAAGTCTTTAGCTGTTTTGATTCGCTGGTATGTAATGATGTAATTTCTGCACATGGGCAGGAGTTTATTCATCCTGGCACCAAGGCACCTTGCATGGGCAGCTCAACATTCTAAGGAAGATGAACAAGCAGATGAGCTTGTTTTCTTGCAAAAGAGAAATAGAATGTCTCTTTTACAATAAAGCTTCTGTCTGCTCTGAGTTCTTTGTTTTGTACCTTTAGTTCAACTTTATGTTCAAGGCTCTGTGTAGGCCACGTGAGTTGTTCTACAGCAAACTTTTCAAACCATGTCTTAATGCACTTGGGGCACAGTCATGCTGGAACAGAAAAGGGACTTCTTGAAAATGTTGCCAAAAGGTTATCTTTGTATGTAGTGTAGGCAGTTGCTGTAATAGCATTTAATATGCTGCAGCATTAACAGTATTCTTCATTGGAACCACCAACCTCAGATATTTGGAGGAGTGTCAACATACTTTGGGACATAGAGTGTATATGCTTTATGAAGACCCTGATTTCTCAGTACACTCCAGGCTAATAAAGCCATTTCAAAACCCCGTTCCTGAGTTGTAGCCACCTAAAGATGATACAGTTAACACTTTTCCCCTAAAAGGTTGTGGTGCCACCAGTTGTTCAATCACTTCATCATTCTCTTCAGTTGCTCTGTGCAACCTGTTTAACAGCAAAATGGGGGAACTGCATATCTGCCCCAGGTTGCTTTGGCTCACTGTTTGACACTATGACCTGGTCCTTGGTGGGAATCAGCACTAAGAAAATTTTCTCGAGAGACCCTGAAGTCAGGCAGATCTGAGGGAGGGGGGCATCCACTTCTAACTCTGCAAACAGCTCCAGGAAACCTGGTTTTATTCTCTACAGACTTATATTTCTCCTGACACACATCAATCTTGATTTTAAACTAAAGTGTGGTAATACATTTTTAATCAGAGGGTTTTTGCTTTTTTAGGAGAGACTTTTGGGCCCTTCAATGTTTCTTCATATAAGTCCTAAAATATGGGTCTGTTTCTCCTGATCATCTGGTCAGATTGAAACCATGGAATCACTCAACTTTTAGTGAAGCAATTTCCACTGGAGTGGACAGGGTTACACAAGCCACAGGGTAGTCTTTCACAAAGCTGTGCACACAGTTGACACCTTTTTCAGCTATTTCCCTACCTCACTTATTCACTTGCTGATAAATATCATGTGATTAACACCTTTTGTCTATGTTAGAATCAGACCTTTTTGCATCTCTCATTATCAATAACAAATAACAACTGTGCTACATAAAAGGAAAAGAAAAATCTAATGTATTAGCACATAAAGAAATATTTGCTATTATTAAGTGAAATGTAGTAATAATTTGCTGGTTTAACTTAAAAGCAATGCTGTTACAAAATGTAAGTAAAGAATGTTACTAATACATAGAGAAACAGAAAAGAAGGTTACAGTAAAATGAACAGAGAATAATAGTAGTACTTTATGCAGAAACCCTGGTATCCTAGCATCTGGGCTCAAAGTGGGCAAGGGAGAGAGATGTGTCTTGCTTTTATATCCCCTCTCTGCCCCCTCCCCCATCCAGGTAAAGGCACTCCCTTCAACAGATTTCAGTAATCTTAAGACTTTGCCACTTTCAGTCAATGGATGGCGCTCTAGGATTATGGACAAGCATTAAGACTACTGGTCTACTGTAGGTCACCAGCTGGCATTTATGACAATCATGTCCAGCTGTGCTCAAATTAAATTCCCGCAGGCAGATCTATTACAATACGTCGTAGTAGAAATGACAAAGAGTCCAGGGCTCACCTCCTTACATCAGCCAGGTGGCCAGAGAATTCCAGAACTGGTCTATGGTGTCCTTTTATTAGTCCTGTTCTCAGAAAAACAATCAAGCAATGTTCTGAAACTTTAAAGCCATACTGTATGTCAAAAGTTCACTGTATGTCAAATTATATTAATGTCTATCATTAATGGAATCTGAAGGTAAAAAGCATTGTAGGTCAAAATCTCCATTACACACCCACTTGTTCTCCAGGTATAAGTTTTTCCTGCAACATTTCAGACCAGAGCAGGGATATAATACTCCTCCTCCTGTTCATTAACCTGCACCACACTTTCTTGGGGATGTACACTTTTAGCAGCATACGCATATGGTGAAGCATTGCTGACTTTTGGCAACTTCCATTAACTTGGCCTGCTTTAGGCACTGAGCTCCCAGATGACCCAGTTGATGACAAGTCCAGCAACAAACCTGGCGGGGTTCTCCTTCAAACAGCCAATTCTTGGGTGCTTTTGGTATTACACAGCCAAGCAGATACATAGTGATCATGTGCTGACATTCTGGCACCAAGATGCACCTTTTCGTTTGTGAGCAGCTCCCTTGTTGATGAAGGGCCCCCACAGAAGCCCTCTGCACACTTGTAACATTCCACTACAGCAGCCATCTCATCCAGGGATTGGGGTTCAGACTGGGCCACCCAACAGTACAGTTTCTAGGGAAGATTGCACATAATACAGTCCAGGGCGACCCTCCCCACCATCATAGTGGGTGTCAGCAGCTCAGGTTGCAGCCAGTCTTGGAGCAGGTGCAATAGACTATACAACTGTGCATGAACAGGTTTATCCTTATCAAAACACCAGGCATAGACATGGCTTATCCTCATGGTAAGTCACTCCCAGCTTGGCCAATTGTTCAGCCTATAACAGCTTGTATTCCCCTTGCTGATTCTGAGGCCAAGTTAATGGATACCTGCTGGGGTTCTGCAATCAGAAAATGGGCTAGCACATCCACCCAACCAGTTTGGACTGCACCAGAGCCTCTCGTTCTGCAGCCATCATGGTTTGCTTATGGTGGGCCTGTGCTTATTCATGACTTGCCTGTGCTTGCATATTGGCCTTTTCCAGCTGCTTAATCACCTCCACCAAAACATCAGGGGGGGGGGGGGGGGGACAGGCATCTGCAACATAGTTCTATAGGCCTAAAATCCGCTTTTTTTCCAGCAAACACAAAACAGGCTTTGTATTTAGCATCCATGCAAACAAAACATGTAGCAGCTTCTTTTCAGCACATAGTACAGTCTTTAAAACCTCAAGATATGTGCTTTTCTTCAGCTCAGATTCAAAATACAGCACATCTTGCTCACCAACTAGGAGAAAAAGTCCAGAACTACAAGGCAGCCCAGTGTGGCAGCATTTCACTAGAATACAGGCTACACACAGCTCTCCTCTTTACACACCACCATCTGTCCACCTTTTTAGTAGGCAGGGCTGTATAGAAGTACCTGCCATTCCAAATAACCCAGTTTTAGTCTTGTCCCAGACTGATAGGCAGGAGCTATACTTGCTGATTACATACGTGGGCTGTGCTTCCCACTTAGCAGTGCTACACGTTCATTGTGCTTTATTGTTGCTCTATTTCAATGCAAGTCCCACAGTTGAATTACACAGATTGAAAAGAATAGAATCCGTGTGAACTCTGACAGCATGGATGCTAGTTGCCTAATATATTGTACAGATATCAACTAGAAGGAACGTTTCCAAGTCTGTGTATGAAGTAAACTGCGTGAAAATATCAAGGTCTTCTCTTTGAAAAACCTTCTATGGTGTCATAATTCCTTACCACTTCATCTAAAAAAAAACCTACCTGACAATATTATCAACTACTGCCTATTGCAGGAAAGTGATTGGGGCTTCTGTATGGCACCCATCCAATCCCCATTGTGCCCTATAATAGGGAACCCAGAATTCTACTGGGTCTGGCAGATCCTTCTTTGCAGAGTCTATCTTTCTGCCAACATATACAATGCGGTGACACTGACTGGCTGTGGCTTACTTAACTTCCCTTACAGGTCTTTTCAACTCCCATTCTGAAATGCATTATAGCTATGCCAGTTTCTAGCTTCTTTCCCTCTGGCAGTGGCTTTTGGGCAGCCCTTATTGGGTTTTGAGGGCCTATGTTCTACCACTGGACCTCTGAGTCACTCTTTATCACTTTTGTATACTCAGCTGATTTCTCCCATGCCAGAGGACTGTCCTACCTTTAGATTTGCTTGGGACAGAGACCTGCTCGCCACCTTCATGATGACACAACTTCAAAATCATACCTTTTTATGCTGAAAACCTCAATATGTTCCAAAATACAAGAATCCAATTTTAAAATATTCTCCAGATGGTAGAGAACACCAGCCAGGTTGCATAGATTGATTCCTGGGGTGCTTGATAGCTGCTGGTGCTGTCCAAAACTTTCGCCCTTTGGCAGGGAGTACACACCTTGACTCAGTATTTCACAGATATTGACGTCCTTCTGGAACCTTCTTTCTTTCCTCTACAGAATAATCAGATTCCAATTAAAGTATACAGAACATTGTATATCTATTGAATGCAGCTAAAGCCTGCATCCGTGCATGTTTGAGATCAGAAGTTCCACCCTCAATCCAACTTTGGCTAAGTAAAGTAGAAGAGATTACAAGAATGGAAGATCTAACACATACCACATGAATGCCGAGGGTGATATCTTTAATAAGACTTGGCATTATTGGCATCAGTTCATCTACACAGATAACGTTAAATGTATCCTAGCAGGTCAGGACCAATTCCCAGATTCTTTCTAAACTTGCCAAATCCCACCTTAGGAATTCCATATGAATCCCCCAAGTGGCTCTCCCCCTCTTCCCTTTCCCTCTCATCTAACACACATTCCTATTCCTTTCTTTATCTACATGATTGTAACTGCACTTAAGTTTCGGCCATAGAACCTCTTTTGTTCTACCCCCTCGTTTTTTCTCCCATTTTCCGTAATCTTATTCTCTTCATTCCCTATTCAAAGTACTGAAAGTTAAGTTATACAGCCAGAGAGACTTTCCCTCATGTTAAACTGACCTTTGACTGTCTATACTGTTTGAAATTGTTTCAATATGCAATTATATGACTTATATCCCACAGTTTTGGGTTACCTTCAGTATCATTTTACAATTTGCAGTTTATGTTTCCATTTCATTAAGATAAGATATAATGACTCTTAAGTGCTGATTCACACATGTGCAGTGCAGATTGAAGGTTTCAGAGCTAATTGATACAGTTGTTCAGCAGTTCAGGTCAGGTTTCCATCAGGTTCAGGACAGGATTAGATGAGGTTCAGGACAGCTTTAGATCAGGTTCAGGTCAGGTTTAGATCAGGTTCAGAACAGGATTTTATCTTGTTCACAACTGATGACATGTGCAGCTTAGAAACAGTTCCCATAGAAGTCAATAGCCTGTAATCCTGCTCAGAAATCAGACATGACTCTTTTTCAATCCGCACTGAATCTGCACTGCCAGTGCACCGGACATATGTGAACAGGCACCATAAGAAGCAATGTCATTTCACATGTCATACATATTGGATGCAGTTCAAACAGCATCCAATCCGCATGTACGTGAACCGGCACTAAATGTCTCGCCATGTCTCTCATTTGAATTGTATGTTTGATGAAAAACAAAGAATTTGAAAAGTATCAATTAGCTTTTAATGGTGAGATTTTAATGGTCAGTTGCTACTGTTAGAGATTAGTTTCTGGCGACATTAGCGGTGACTGAGCTGCTAAAAATCCTCTGTGCAACTCTAGGCGTACAGCAAGCATTTAAAACTGTGATATCAAAAATGACTTTCAGATAAACATAATAATATTAATCATTTCAAATGTGTGAACACTGAAAATACACAGTAGTTGCCATATAAAAGACTTGCCTACTAATCTGTGGCCCCTGTGGAGCTATTCCTCTGCTGAAGTGCACTGATTCAGATCTACTTTGCAGTATTGATGAATAGGAGACCCTGAGCGGGCTTGGTGCTCCCTTGATGAGCAGTATTCAACCAATGTCTGCTCATGGGAATATCTTGGCAGCTATGAAGAGCTAATAATTACCAAGTAGCTCATTCAATGTTTTGCTTTTTTTGGAGGAAGTATTGATTTCAGTATTATTTTGCTCTAACTCAAAGCTTTGTTACCACAGATCCTCTCCAAATTTTTACAATGATAAAGAAAGATTTGGCAAAGATAGATGTAGACCTCTTGCCAGGTGTTTGTTTAGCATGTTTGCCATTTTAAAATTAGCACAATCGGTTTTTTTTAGTAGGAGGGAGATTTTATAAAGGTGACACAGTTGTCTTCTGTATGCCTTACGTTCCCTCACAGAAATGTTAGCCCTGTGCATGTAGATGACTTCAGCCTTTTGAAACATTTCTGCTGAGGGGACGAACAACAGGGCAAGTTTAGCATGGAGACGAATATAGATTGAGTTTGTGAATTCAGCACATTTTGATGTGTGACAGGTTGCTTAGGGGCACCTTGGTGAAGACTGACTTCATAAGCAGTATGATAATCTGAAACAAACATTGCATGCTTATTAATCTTCATAAATAATACATGCATGCAAACAGCGCTATGAAGATGTAATGACCTGTAGCCTCATCCATTGTTTTTTTTGCTCTTACACAGGTGTCAGCATTGAACATGAAAATGTCCATCCACATTGTGTCCGTGGCTTTAATCACCCTTGTGGCTGGTTTTGTGTGCCTTTACAGAGCTGCCCTGACCACAGTTTTCTGACCGGTTACATACAGACGGATCTGAGGGGAATGCTTCCACATAGCACTGTTGACTTTGCTATGGCGGGTTCACTTGTAAATTTCTATAGTGACCTCAGGAAAGCATTGAAGAAGTCATAGAGCTTATAGACAAACAGTCTTCACATATTGAAGATCAAATACTGTTTTCCTCATGAGACTATAACTATGGTAACAAGGCCTTTTACAGACAGTTGCTTGGTGTAGATGTTCAATCTACAATGCCATGATGCTTGGTGATCATAGGAATGGGGCCTGCAGTCCATGTTCATATCTGACTTACAGCAGTGGTATACACACCTCATACACTATACTGTTCAATATGACTTCATATACCAGACAACACTATACACACACCTTAGACACTATAGGATAGTTTCACACTGGCCTTCTGCGTCTGGCCACAATGAGGGTGCACCGCAATGTACCTGTGGTTTTGATGCAGGTTAGCTGTGCTTTGCCATAGACTTCTATTATGTCCCATGGTTTTGGTGTATGCTGAACTTTAAAAAAATGCACCAACCCAAAACCGAAACTATGGGTACACCTGCACTGTGGCCAGAACGCAGCAACTCAGTATGAAGCGGACATGCTGCTCTATGCATGCCTCATACACCTGACTGTTCAATACATGCCTCATACACCTGACTGTTCGATACACGCCTCATACACCTGACTGTTTGATACACGCCTCATACACCTGATGTTCAATACACGCCTCATACACCTGACTGTCTTTTACACACCTCATACAACAGACTCATACACCTCATGTACCTGACTGTTCAATACACACCTCATACAAATACAGACTGTTTATTACACACCTCATACCTCATATACACCTGACTGTTTATTACAACCTCATACACACTGTTCAATACACGCCTCATACACTGACTGTTTATTACAACCTATACACACACGCCTCATACACTACACACTGACTGTTATTACACACTCATACACCTACACACACTCATACACCTGACTGTTCAATACACACCTCATACACCTGACTGTTTATTACACACCTCATACCTGTTCATACACACCTCATACTGTTCAATACACACCTCATACACCAGACTGTTCAATATCACCTCATACACCTGACTGTTCAATACACACCTCATACACCAGACTGTTCAATACACACCTCATACACCTGACTGTTCAATACACACCTCATACACCTGACTGTTTATTACACACCTCATACACCTGACTGTTCAATACACGCCTCATACACTTGACCACACCTCATATACTGGACTGTTTATTACACACCTCATACACCAGACTGTTCAATACACACCTCATACACCAGACTGTTCAATACACACCTCATACACCAGACTGTTCAATATACACCTCATACACCTGACTGTTCAATACACACCTCATACACCAGACTGTTCAATATACACCTCATACACCAGACTGTTCAATATACACCTCATACACCAGACTGTTCAATATACACCTCATACACCTGACTGTTCAATACACACCTCATACACCAGACTGTTCAATATACACCTCATACACCTGACTGTTCAATATACACCTCATACACCGGACTGTTCAATATACACCTCATACACCAGACTGTTCAATATACACCTCATACACCTGACTGTTCAATATACACCTCATACACCTGACTGTTCAATATACACCTCATACACCAGACTGTTCAATATACACCTCATACACCGGACTGTTCAATATACACCTCATACACCTGACTGTTCAATATACACCTCATACACCGGACTGTTCAATACTCACCTCAGACAGATGTATGAGGTGTGCAATAAACAGTCTAGTGTATGAGGCGTGTATAGCGTGTATTACTTGAAATTCCACACCTCATGCACCAGACTGTTCAATACACACCTCATGCACCAGACTGTTCAATACACACCTCATACACCAGACTGTTCAATACATACCTCATGCACCAGACTGTTCAATACACAACTCATACACCTGACTGTTCAATACACGCCTCATACACTTGACTGTTTATTACACACCTCATATACTGGACTGTTTATTACACACCTCATACACCAGACTGTTCAATACACACCTCATACACCAGACTGTTCAATACACACCTCATACACCAGACTGTTCAATATACACCTCATACACCTGACTGTTCAATACACACCTCATACACCAGACTGTTCAATACACACCTCATACACCTGACTGTTCAATACACACCTCATACACCTGACTGTTTATTACACACCTCATACACCTGACTGTTCAATACACGCCTCATACACTTGACTGTTTATTACACACCTCATATACTGGACTGTTTATTACACACCTCATACACCAGACTGTTCAATACACACCTCATACACCAGACTGTTCAATACACACCTCATACACCAGACTGTTCAATATACACCTCATACACCTGACTGTTCAATACACACCTCATACACCAGACTGTTCAATATACACCTCATACACCAGACTGTTCAATATACACCTCATACACCAGACTGTTCAATATACACCTCATACACCTGACTGTTCAATACACACCTCATACACCAGACTGTTCAATATACACCTCATACACCAGACTGTTCAATATACACCTCATACACCAGACTGTTCAATATACACCTCATACACCTGACTGTTCAATATACACCTCATACACCGGACTGTTCAATATACACCTCATACACCAGACTGTTCAATATACACCTCATACACCTGACTGTTCAATATACACCTCATACACCAGACTGTTCAATATACACCTCATACACCGGACTGTTCAATATACACCTCATACACCTGACTGTTCAATATACACCTCATACACCGGACTGTTCAATACTCACCTCAGACAGATGTATGAGGTGTGCAATAAACAGTCTAGTGTATGAGGCGTGTATAGCGTGTATTACTTGAAATTCCACACCTCATGCACCAGACTGTTCAATACACACCTCATGCACCAGACTGTTCAATACACACCTCATACACCAGACTGTTCAATACATACCTCATGCACCAGACTGTTCAATACACAACTCATACACCAGACTGTTCAATACACACGTCATACATCAGGCTGTTCAATATACACCTCATACATCAGGCTATTCAATATACACCTCATACATCAGGCTGTTCTTTACACACCTCATACATCAGGCTGTTCAATATATACCTCATACATCAGGCTGTTCAATATATACCTCATACATCAGGCTGTGTTCTTTACACACCTCATACATCAGAATTTTCAACACACACCATTTACACCAGAGTGTCTCAATACCCACCTAATACACCAGACAGGCCTATACACAGTGTTTATGCCAGGCAGTGCTATACACACCTCATATACCAGACAGATGTCCAGTATACACACCATTTACACCAGGCAGCTTTCTGCACACCTCATACATTAGGCTATCTCAATTTGTACCTCATACACCAGACCTCTCAATACTAGTCTCATACACTCACATAGGCTTTTGTGTTTTTAGATTTTATCTCATATTAGGCCTTCAAAATAGCAAGTTATTTTTAGTTGAAGAAAGAAAAGTATATATTTTATAGCATATACTATTTAGCTGTCTGAAATGTATTTTTATAGTTGCACATGCTTCTTTGCACTCCTAGCTGAATATATAGTACTAAAGACAGTACTTGGAATTCCAATGATATTACTGTCAATCTAAAATAACAAGGATAAAGAATATTACATTCAGATCTGACTACATGGTTACGTTTCAAAATTTGCAAATGCAGTAGCTATTTTTTGGCCCAGGGATCTTACAAGATGGACAGTCAGTCCTGAGTGTTTTATTTCTATTGGCCAAGCCTAGGGATTGTTAATCGTACAATTCTACTGTGATGCAATAGCTTCCTAAGTTACACACTCAAAAGTGATTTTCGCTTCACTCAAAACCCCTCCTGCCCCTAGGATTTGCAGCACAGTATACTGTATACGGTTCATTATATATTTATATTGATGCTCATTGGCCTTGGGTAGTTGTTAGGCGCATTAAAAGTTACAAACAGTTTGTGACATGTACCTGCTGGACTGGGCCGAGGCAGGAGACTCACCCCCCTTGGGCAGGTGAGGAGTGCAGCTGAAGCAAGAGTCTCTCCTGCCTCTGCATCACCCAGCCATGTCCTGTACTGTGAAGGACTGAGCTGTCAAACTGACAGTCCAGTCCTGCAGATCACACATGGAGATTGCGGCTTCACATCACACTTGGAGCTCTGTGTGCTGCTAATAAATAGAACACAGCACCCTGCTGTCATGGAGCTGCATTCTCCTTGTGTAATATCACCCAAACCGTCCTCTCCGCTCCTCCCACGACCTCCTGCTCTCTAGCTCCCATGCTCATCTCCAGGACTTCTCCAGAGCCTCCCCCATCCTCTGCAACTCTCTACCCTAATCTATCAGACTATCGCCTACTCTGCCCACTTTTGGGAGATCTCTGAAAACCTATCTCTTCAGGGAAGTCTATCCTGCCTTCAGCTAATAATGTAATCTTCTATTCCTTCTAGCAGTCTATCCCCCATAGTCATACCTTTTGTACCACCAGCCCCTGCCTCTTAGATTGTAAGCTGCAAGGAACAGGGCCCTCCTAGCTCTTTTGTGTTGAACTGTATTGTTGCTGTATTGTCTCCCTTTATACTGTAAAGAGCTGAGCAAACTGTTGGCGCTATATAAATCCTGTATAATAATCTGCAAGACTGAGCTACTAGTGGAACAGCTCGGATCCTGCTCCACAAATGAAAGCTACAATTATGTCTTTATTAATTCAATTTAGTATTTTTTGCAGATTTGTTTCCAAATAATTTGTAAACTTTTTAAACTTGCATTAGCTTATGTTTGTAGCAACAGTTTTAAAAAAATTATTTGCGGCACAAACATGGTTCTAGTGCCTTTATAAAAAGCACAAGTCACAGAATAAAATTTGTAGTTACAGCTTAAATTTTTATTAAGGCTCCATTCACACTAGTGGGACTCCAAAGTAGCTTGATTTTGAGTGCAACTGTGAAAGGGTGAGACTTGGATGTGACTTTGGCTTTGATCA